CCGTTTTAAAGGCAGCAGGGAAGACACCCAACTGAAGAGAGCAATTCATCATGTATAAAAGCTCAGCTTCAAAAAATCCATAAAGTGTTTTAAAAGTAAAGAGGGGATAAAATATCAGATCTGATGGCGCTGACTTTTCCCCTGAAGTGGTCTGCAAACTGCTCACAGACCGAGTCTGTGGAGCTGTTAAAATCAGGGTTAAATAAATGATCTATGGTGGAAAAGAGGACCTTGGGACTATTTTTGTTATTACTGATTATTTTGGTGAAGTATGAATTTCTTGAATTCCTTAATGTATTATTGTACATTTTAAGTTGCAAAGTATTTGATGGTTGGTTGCATTTTTATTTTTCCTCCATCTCCTTTCTGCTACCCTGCAATTTCTTTTGAGTTTTTGGACTTCTTCGTTTCTCCAGGGTGATAAATGTTTTACGTTAATCTTTTTGGTGGTGAGTGGAGCAACAGAGTCAAGGATTTTCTTCAGTTTGCTGTTAAAATGATTAAAAATAAAATCACAGGGTGCAGGTAAAATCACAGGGGGGCATTCGTCTAAAACCCTGGTAAAATTTGCAGCCACTTCAGAGGTTAGATAGCGCCTCCTCACAGTTCGCACCAAGGTCTCCCGCTGAATAAAACCGGTGATGTTAAAAAACACACAGTAGTGGTCAGAGACAGCCAAGTCAACCACAGAGGACACACTGGTGGAAAGCTCATGGGTGATGACCAGGTCCAGAGTGTGTCCTCGTCCTTCGTTTGATGCAGGGTCAGAAGGATTATCTATGTGCAGGTTAAAATCACCGGTTAAAATCATCATGTTATATTTTGAGTGTATGTTTGTTAAAAATTCTGAGAATCCCTTGATAAAAGCAGCACTGTCTTTAGGTGGTCTGTAAACTGTGACAGATAAAACTGGAGAGCTGCTAAAAACAACAGCATGGAATTCAAAAGAGGTAAAATGGTCAAATAAAATGTGTTTGGTGGTGAGTGTGTTGTTGGTTAAAGATGCAGTCCCACCACCTCTCTCACCACTTCTAATAGAAAAAGAGAAATTAAAATTTGGTGGGGGGGGGGCTCAGTGAGAACAACTGGTGCATCCAAGCCCAGCCATGTTTCAGTTAAAAATAAACAGTCAAGTTTATTGAAATCATAGTTTGAATTCAGACGAGCCATTCCACATTAATGGTGTACAAAACAGTGACAGCTACCCAGTTGTGTTCACGAGGGTCCGCCTACGATAGCCGTAATGCTCCAACAATCCATCAAGCCATGCGGCTTCGTAGCTCAGCAAAGTCGTACTGAAACATTTGACAGATTTTCGAGCGCCGGGGTGGGCGATATAAACGATATACGATAGGAACGATATAAATTTGGCCAA